GTCGAGAAGACATGAAGCTTCGTGCGGAGCGACAGACCAGGTAGCTTCCACACAGCATTATGCAACCGATGAAAAGATAATGCCGCTCGACTGATTCGGAGTGAGACCTCTGTTGTTAAACCTATGCCGGTCATGAGCACACTGCCCAGGTATGGGAAACTCTCCACTCTCTTCACAACTGCCTTATCACCAATTGGGAGTTGTGGGGGTGGAGTGTCCAATGGTACAAAATACCCAGGCAGGTGCTTAGTTTTGGTGGGGCTGTTGGTAAGGCATGGCCTCTTAGTGACAAGCTCCAGGTTCAGCAGCAGCACCTCCAACTACTCCTCTGAGTGAGCAGCAATTACCAGATCATGGGCATACATAACATGGCTGAGCAATAGAGAGCCATCTCTTGACCGCAACCGGACATCGATCAGCCTCCCATTGTACTGTACCAGATGGAAATTCCTCCGGTACAGCTATTGAAGGCTTCACGAACTACGCGGTCGAAATAGATGTTAAATAATGTGGGAGCCAGAGGACATCCCTGTCGCACCCCAAGTTGTACAGGGAATGGCTCCGACTCCCAGCCACGTGGTTTTACCTGGGCCCGGAAACCATCATGAAGGTCCTTAATGATCGTGAGCAGAGGGTCAGGGACTCCAAAAGCATGAAGAACAACCCAGAGCCCAGGCCTACTGATGGTATCAAATGCCTTGACCAGGTCAATAAAGCAGAGATGTAGGTCTTGTTGGAATTCCCTATACCTCTGCTGTAGCAGACGGACAGAAAATATGGCATCTGTGCAGGACCGCCCTTTCCTGAAACCGCATTGGGGCTCCGCAAGCCTCTCCTCAGCGTGCCTAGCAAGGTGATGTTGAATAATCATTGCCAGGACCTTTCCCGGCACACTGAGTGAGATGCCCTTGTAGTTGTTACAGTCTGTGCAGTCCCCCTTCTTGAAGAGGGGGACCACCAGGGCATCCTTCCAGTCCTGCGGAACCCATCCAGTAGTCCAGACTGTTGTTATGATGTCATGTAGGGCAGTCTGTGCACAAACGCCACGTCATCTCTGCCCGGTGCTTTTCCTGGTCTCAGACTCTGGATCGCCTTCAGTACTTCCTCAACAGATGGCACCTCAGCCAGCCACTCACAGGGGGTGACTTCCTCCAATGTTTGAGGCAACGCAGCCTCGGCAGGGTCATCCCCACTTTTTCCCACATTGTTATCCAGGCTGAGGGATGTCCCCTCCCCCAGGACCTCACATAAATGCTCAGCAAATCTGCAAACCTGTTCCTGGGGGTCAGAGATTGGATCACTGTTCTTTCCCCTAATTATGGTAATAGGTGTGGCACTGCAGGTAACCTTTTTGATGGAATTAAAGAGCGATTTGTGATCGCGGGCCATTGAGGCAGACTCCATCTCCTCAGCAACCAGTGACCACTACCCATCCTTGCAACGCCTCATGGCTCTCCGAACCTCAGAACGAAGGCTGCGATCCTCATTCTCCGACGTGGGATGCTGTAGCCGATGAGAGTGGGCCTGTCGCTTTTTCTCAGCCAGCTTGTACACCTCATGTCAGCCAGGGTCTCTGGGGAGGTCTGATTCGTGTACCCAAAGCAGCCATTGCAGCTGCATGAGCCACAGTCCTAAACCTCGGCCATTTACCCTCGGCATCAGGAGGAGTGGGGGACGATGCCAATCCCAGCTGCAAGCTATTATGAAATTCCCGCTTGCAACTTTCATCAGCTAGCTGAGACCAGTCCACTAAGGGTTTGAATGGGGCCCTGGGTGTACACCCACAACCGGAGTGGAAGAATGGCAGGTGCATCTTACAGATGACAAGCCGATGATCAGTGGGCAGATCAGCTCCACGGTAGGTCCTGGTGTCAAGGACATGGACCCGCATCTGCTGTTCCATCAGTACCTAGTCCAATAAATGTTATTTGCTTGGACCCAGCATGCATCCATAATGTTGTGTGGATGCACCGATGCCAGAAAAGCATGTTGGTAATTACAAGCCCATGGGCCGCACCAAAGTCTAGTAGCCTCCTACAGTTGTTATTGAGCTGGTCTGGCCTATGCCTTCCAATCACTCCCGACCAGGTGCCAGCATCATGATCAACTCGGGCATTGAAGTCAAGATGACTCTATCCCGAGGGGCCACTTTAGCTTGCATCTGTGACAGGTCATAGAAGGCATCTGACTCATTGGCCTTGCGTGCATCCGTGTTCATCTTCGGTGGGGGAATAAGCAACCACCACCACCATTCCTCGCCTCGTAGACACAGACAGACACAGACACTCAGACACACACAAATAGACACATATACATAGGAGCAATTGCTGTTAGTAGCACATACACAGTGCGCTCACCACTGCACCACCACTCCCCACTCACACACACACACAGTGCTCTAACCACTGCACCACCACTCTCCACTCATATGCAGTGCGCTAACCACTGCACCACCACTCCCCACACACACACAGTGCGCTAATCACTGCACCACCACTCCCCACTCACACAGTGCGCTAACCACTGCACCACCACTCCCCACTCACACAGTGCGCTAACCACTGCACCACCGCTCCCCACTCACACACACAAAGTGTGCTAACCACTGCACCACCACTCCCCACTCACACAGTGCGCTAACCACTGCACCACCACTCTCCACTCACACACACAGTGCGCTAACCACTGCACAACCACTCTCCACTCACACACACACACAGTGCGCTAACCACTGCACCACCACTCCCCATTCACACACAGTGCGCTAACCACTGCACCACCACTCCCCACTCACACACAGTGCGCTAACCACTGCACCACCACTCCCCACACACACACACTGCGCTAACCACTGCACCACCACTCTCCAATCACTCATACACTGCGCTAACCACTGCACCACCACTCCCCACACACACACTGCGCTAACCACTGCACCACCACTCTCCAATCACTCATACACAGTGCTAACCACTGCATCACCACTCCCCACTCACACACACAGTGCGCTAACCACTCCACCCCCACTCCCCACTCCCACACACAAAGTGTGCTAACCACTGCGCCACCACTCTCCACTCACACACACAGTGCGCTAACCACTGCACAACCACTCTCCACTCACACACACACACAGTGCGCTAACCACTGCACCACCACTCCCCATTCACACACAGTGCGCTAACCACTGCACCACCACTCCCCACTCACACACACAGTGCGCTAACCACTGCACCACCACTCCCCACACACACACACTGCGCTAACCACTGCACCACCACTCTCCAATCACTCATACACTGCGCTAACCACTGCACCACCACTCCCCACACACACAGTGCGCTAACCACTCCACCCCCACTCCCCACTCCCACACACACAGTGCGCTAACCACTGTACCACCACTCCCCACTCACACACAGTGCGCTAACCACTGCACCACCACTCCCCACTCACATACAGTGTGCTTACCACTGTACCACCACTCCCCACTCACACAGTGCGCTAACCACTGCACCACCACTCCCCACTCACACAGTGCGCTAACCACTGCACCACCACTCCCCACTCACACAGTGCGCTAACCACTGCACCACCACTCCCCACTCACACAGTGCGCTAACCACTGCACCACCACTCCCCACTCCCACACACAGTGCACTAACCACTGCACCACCACTCCCCACTCACATACAGTGTGCTAACCACTGCACCACCACTCCCCCCACACACACACAGTGCGCTAACCACTACACCACCACTCCCCACTCACATACAGTGTGCTAACCACTGCACCACCACTCCCCACTCACACAGTGCGCAAACCACTGCACCACCACTCCCCACTCACATACAGTGTGCTAACCACTGCGCCACCACTCCCCACTCACACAGTGCGCTAACCACTGCACCACCACTCCCCACTCACATACAGTGTGCTAACCACTGTACCACCACTCTCCACTCACATACACAGTGCACTAACCACTGCACCACCACTCCCCACTCACACACACACAGTGCGCTAACCACTGCACCACCACTCCCCACTCACAGTGCGCTAACCACTGCACCCCCACTCCCACAGTGCGCTAACCACTGCACCACCACTCCCCACTCACACACACAGTGCTCTAACCACTGCACCACCACTCCCCCCACACACACACAGTGCGCTAACCACTACACCACCACTCCCCACTCACACACACAGTGCGCTAACCACTACACCACCACTCCCCACTCACATACAGTGTGCTAACCACTGCACCACCACTCACACACACAGTGCGCTAACCACTGCACCACCACTCCCCACACACACACAGTGCGCTAACCACTGCACCCCCACTCCCACAGTGCACTAACCACTGCACCACCACTCCCCACTCACATACAGTGTGCTAACCACTGCACCACCACTCCCCCCACACACACACAGTGCGCTAACCACTGCACCACCACTCCCCACACACACACACACACAGTGCGCTAACCACTACACCACCACTCCCCACTCACATACAGTGTGCTGACCACTGCACCACCACTCCCCACTCACACACACACACAGTGCGCTAACCACTGTACCACCACTCCCCACTCACATACAGTGTGCTAACCACTGCACCACCACTCCCCACTCACATACACAGTGCGCTAACCACTGCACCACCACTCCCCACTCACATACAGTGTGCTAACCACTGTACCACCACTCTCCACTCACATACACAGTGCACTAACCACTGCACCACCACTCCCCACTCACACAGTGCGCTAACCACTGCACCACCACTCCCCACTCACACACACAGTGCGCTAACCACTGCACCCCCACTCCCACAGTGCGCTAACCACTGCACCACCACTCCCCACTCACACAGTGCTCTAACCACTGCACCACCACTCCCCACTCACACACAGTGCTCTAACCACTGCACCACCACTCCCCACTCACACACACAGTGCGCTAACCACTGCACCACCGCTCTGTGTACCTCCACCACCATCACCACCACCTCCCCTCTGCTCCGTGCAGAGCCGTTTCGCTCCACCGCCACCGCCTCCTCCTGCACCTCCTCCTCGTCCACCCTCCTCCTCCTCCTCGTCGCTGCTGCTCCCGTCGCTGTCGTTGGAGGAGGCGGCCAAGACGAAGAATGACAGCGGGTCAGGCAGCTCGCCCGCCATTGCAGGCGGCAAGTGGCGATGTCGGTGGTGAGGAAGACGACGACCTCATGAATATTCATGAGGTCTTTACTATTAATGACGTTTGGGAACCGGTTCCCCATCTCTTAACATTGCCCATAGACTTCTTATGGGAACCGGTTCTCTATTTCTAAACATGGCCCAACAACTTCCTATGGCCCAGTGTTTATAGATAGGGAACATCTCTTAACATTGCGCATAAATATTCTTGGTTCTTTCGCTAAAGTCACGTAGAAGGAAAACAATAAAATAATAATAAAATTTGCCCATAAACTTCTAATGGGAACCGGTTCGCTATCTCTTAAAATGGCCCATTGATTTCCTATGGGAACCGGTTCCCCATCTCTTAACATGGCCCCATGTTAACAGATATGGAACTAGTTCCCTATTTCTTAACATGGCCCATAGAAGGGAAGTAATAAAATAATAAAAATAAAACATAATAAAATAATTCTCACGACGTTTCGGCCACAACGCAAGCAGCCGTCCTCAGGTGAAAACCAGGTCTGTCGAGGCGACAGCGTCTGAATGAAACAGCACACGAGCTTGGAGCATGTATATATAAGCTGGGCGCCTTGACAAAGGACTTTGCATATCAAGAGGAATTTAGAATATTTATGGGACATGCAGGAATGTGATTAGTACTACATATGCATGTGCATTATGCAGGATTAACAGCATCAAAGGGAGAGGATATGGGACATGCAGGTATGTGAATAGTACTAATTCAGCATCAAAGGGAGGGGATAGGGGTAGCATTAATAAAGGGAAGGAGTGTTAATAGTATGTAGCTGCAGTAACTAAAACCTACACGTAAACAACTAAAGTATAAACTACATAGTATCATCAGTATACTTACTATACTCTACAATAAGCTGAGTTACTAACAGTAAGTACTACATTACAATTCTACGTCGTAAAAATTATATAATTTGCTTCCATCTAAACTTTATTCTCTTACATCACACGAGTCTACACCGTGCTATATACTGCCATAGACAAACCCAACGTTAAATTATATACTGTATTGCTATAAACCACCCTATACCCTATACCTTATACATTTTAATATAACACTATGTATTATTCTACCCACCCTAATGTGTATCACACTGCTATATATTTACTATACAATTACGATACTATATATTACTTTGTACATTGTATTAAGCATATAAATGTTATACTATTTGTTATTATACACTGTACCATTGACCGTCGTGTCAATGGGTGAGTCGTGGGAGGAAACTTGCAGCGGAGCAAAGAATCCATTCCCTGCGGAGAATACAATGCCAGTGAGTGGAACGCGGTCTGAAAGTCACCGTAAACGTGAACACAATCAGTTAAGATCCGAAATGGTTTATTACGTCCTTCCAATGATTGCTAAGCCAGAATCCATCTTCTCGGTTTAAATTGTCTCTGTGTTTGTATATTTTAATTTTAAGTTAATTCACAGAGCCGCAGTGCCATTCGGCCTGGGGAGGATCCGCCAATTCCCCAGCGCTGGGAAACCATGAGACCTCCCCATGAGGGGGGGTTCTCGGGTGAAAACCCAGGCGCCGAGAGACCCTCCCACGAGGTCCTACGTGGGGGTACGTCTGTGCGTTCGTGTGAAGGGTTGCGAGGGGGAGCAGCACCGGCAGAGCTGCTTCATTGCTGTGGCATCACGCAACACTTAACACAGCACCACCCAGCACAGCAGCCAGCACTGCCGAGCTGTCATCTCATGAATCCCCGTGTCTCCCCGCACCTCCCCCCGGCCAACTCCGAGCTGCCCCTCTCCCCCGTGCCCCCCCTCCATCCTCAAGCCCCGCCCCTCGGCAAGCCACGTTTGGCTCTACACGACCCACTTTCCACGCTCCACAGGCCCCGTGTCTCCACCAAGCCATTAACACAATAAGTAATATTGTAAAATACTTTTTTTAAAACACGTTTTAATGAAATGTACCGTACGACTAATGGCAGAACTCCGCGACTCCAGGAAGTGGTCCCTAAGCCATAACGTAAGGGACCGTGGTGATTTACAGCCAAAGTGAGTTGAGCGTGGACAAAAGCGTATAACTAGACCAAATCCGAAACATAACCTAGAAAAAAGATCGTTTAAAATATATATTTTTTTATTTTAAATGATACATTATAGTATTGTCATCAGTATGACATTGGTATACCAAGTTTGCAGTCTATACGACATTGGGAAGTGGGTTAAAATTTAGTTACAAGATTTGAGGATACGACAGAGTGAGTTAAGTAAAAGCGTGTAAAAAAATTTACCACCATCTGCGTAAGTGTCCAACATACTATTGCGCCATTAAAAACGAGTAGGCCATTGCATGCTGGCGTCTGGGTCAAAATTTAGCAAATTCTAAACATTACCTACAAACTACACAACTGAGATGCCACATCAACCATCGCCCCCTACTGACAGGCTCTTGTCCACATGCAGGCCGGTGCAGGGCCACTACCTTGTGCCATACAGGGGCAGCTGCTACTTGGGGATGCTCTTCGATTGTTTGAAATGAGATACAATACAAAACTCCGAATTGCCAGAGGCGATTAAGAAAGCACCATATAAATGCAATTGATAACATCGTGAATGATTGGGAGCTTTTAGGCTCTCGCTCCTGGTTAGAGATCTACCCAACCCACAGGTCAACAAAGACTGACCGCTCATACAATGCAGGTTGAACCTAGGAATTGAGTGTTCAACATCACATTCTTGCCATTAAAGGCCTGTGATAAAGGTGCATCTATTGGAACGACATCGTCTCAAGATTACAGATCTACCAAGCCTCCATTTGACTTTGTATTGTCTCGGAAGTCCACCCACACCTCCACTTCCACAAACTGCTTGGAGTTGCCTCGCTCTGCCTCGCAGTCAGAATTCTCCTCCTGCTTCACGTTGCCTCCAACGATGTGCAGGTCCAATTTTGGAGTTGAATCTTCATCATCACATTTTACCTTCACTTCTTCGCTCTTCACCATCACTTCACATTTCACCTTCACCGCTTCATATTTCACCTTGATACTTTTAAAAGTGTCCAAGCTGGGATTTTCTTCCGGTTCTTGTTTCATGAGGGATGGGCTCATTGTGGCACTTTGACTTTCACAAGCCGATTTCATACTCCACTCCTTGTGGATCTTCTGATGCTTGTGTGTTCTCTGGTGTCTTTGAAGATTTGGTTTACGTGCAAACGCCTTCCCGCACAGAGTGCACCTGAAGAGTTTCTCTCCCGTGTGTGTTCTCTGGTGTTCTACAAGAGCAGATGACTGTGCAAACGCCTTCCCACACACACTGCGCTTGAAGGGTTTATCTCCCATGTGTGTTCTCTGGTGTGTTACAAGAGTATATGAAAGTGTAAACGCCTTCCTACACACACTGCACTTGAAGGGTTTCTCTCCCGTGTGTGTTCTCTGGTGTATTACAAGAGCAGATGAACGTGCAAACGCCTTCCCACACACACTGCACTTGAAGGGTTTATCTCCCGTGTGTGTTCTCTGATGTTCTACACGAGCAGATGAACGTGCAAACGCCTTCCCACACACACTGCACTTGAAGGGTTTCTCTCCCGTGTGTGTTCTCTGGTGTGCTACAAGAAGAGATGAATGTGCAAACGCCTTCCCACACACACTGCACTTGAAGGGTTTCTCTCCCGTGTGTGTTCTCTGGTGTGTTACAAGAGCAGATAACTGTGCAAACGCCTTCCCACACACACTGCACTTGAAGGGTTTCTCTCCCGTATGTGTTCTCTGGTGTGCTACAAGAGCAGATGACTGTGCAAACGCCTTCCCACACACACTGCACTTGAAGGGTTTCTCTCCCGTGTGTGTTCTCTGGTGTGTTACAAGAGTAGATGAAAGTGTAAACGCCTTCCCACACACACTGCACTTGAAGGGTTTCTCTCCCGTGTGTGTTCTCTGGTGTGTTACAAGAGTAGATGAAAGTGTAAACGCCTTCCCACACACACTGCACTTGAAGGGTTTCTCTCCCGTATGTGTTCTCTGGTGTTCTACAAGAGCAGATGAATGTGCAAACGCCTTCCCACACACACTGCACTTGAAGGGTTTCTCTCCCGTGTGTGTTATCTGGTGTTTTACAAGAGTAAATGAAAGTGCAAACGCCTTCCCACACACACTGCACTTGAAGGGTTTCTCTCCTGTGTGAGTTCTCTGGTGCCGTGTCAAATTTCCAGTACGATCCGTGCTATATGCACACTGGTCGCATTGTTGCCTTGTCGAACCGAGCGGCGCCGAGTGCCTTTGCTCCATCAGACCAATTCTGCAGAGGAAGCGACAGCTGCAGACAGAAAAAAAGTATATCCACAACATCTACACGTCAGTATCGATGCACAGAGGAATGCATATACACACAGTAACACGTGACTTACATGTCTATACTTATTCATATATTCGTGATATAGTGAAAAAGTGTCCCAAATTCATCACACGGGCTGTAATGGCACACAATGAGAGGGCAAATGGTCATAAACATGCCTATAAGCCCTCGTATCTTCAAAATGAATGTTAACCAAAAACTACAAGAACACAATTTCGGCTGTCTGGCTTCAAAATAAATATTTATGAAAGCTAAATCAGCTGACATAGCAAAGGGTATTGAAAATAGTGCTATTTGTGTTATGCAGAAATGCATAAATTAATGTCCAATCGCAACTTAGGTATGAAGCCAGGCACAGATGTTCTTGAATGCTGGGATGAACAGTTCCTACTTCAGCTGCATGTGTGCTGTGATAACTTCCTGACTCTATTCTTACAGAGTTCCAGAGGAAAACAAAAATAAACTACTGTTTTCATGTAATCTCCGTGCTCAATAGACTTTACTGCAAATACAAACTTGATACTGTCACACACTCAGAGGCGGAGCCAGGATTTTCAGGTAGGGGGAGGCAACCCCTCCAGCAATGAAAAATGATAGGAGTTGTTAGGTGGTCGGCATCGCGCTCGCTGAAGGTGTTTGCCTTCAGGGAAGTCGTGTACTGTATACGCAACTGCGCACAATTCTGTGAGTCGCTTGTAAATGCTTTTCCGTTACTTATTGCGAAATATGGATTCGAATTGTTGTCCTCTCATAGAGTCCCTGGCACGTAATAATATGCCACACGGTGGCAGTGGGGGTCGCAAAATGCTGATACGTGTGTCTGTTCGAAATGTTCAGCATACTTCCTAACATGCTACACACTTGAATTTTGACGTGGGTAGGTTCCATACTGTACACAATGTAAAACATATAAAAATTGACTTTGCTATTTTGGGGGGGGGGGGGGGGGGGGCGGAAATGACCATGAAGTGTGTGGCGTCAACCCGCATCACACCTGAGTTAAGCGCTCTGCAATGCTTACCCCCCTACCATATGGCTCTTTGCGCGCCATACTTCTAGAGCTGTTCACAGCGGGCCGGGAGATTTTAGGTGGCGCTTCGCTCCTGGCCGATGAAGCCATTGCCTTCTCGGAGTGCGAAGAACGGGTACAACTGCTATCTTAAATATGAAGCAGAAATTACATGTTTGTGTGAAGCAGCAAAAATTCTCCAACGCTGAGCTCTGGCGTCATGAAATTTGCACAGTTTATGCTGTCTGGCATTTGTAAGTGAACGCCACTATTTTCAGCTTGCCATGTCATTCCTTTCCGAGTGGCCAAAATCGACCTCACGTAGAAGTAGGTTAAGGTTGAATTGAGTGAAAACATCCGATTTAGGTAAATTGATTTGTTTCGGCTTTTTCTTTCATGCAGGCATACATTTTTATCAGGGTTTTTCAGTGAAATATAAGGGAATATGAAAGTAATCCAAGACAAGAATCCAAGTCCCGGGCGAAGCTGGGTAGTGAAGCTCGTTACTAATAAACACCCAATGATCCTATAAAAATTAAGGATTTCGATCGGACGTTGTGGGGGTACGTGCCACCCCACCCCCACTCGCTCCACCACTGTCACACACTGGCACGGTTCACAGGTGGTGGTGTGTCCAGACCCACGCCTGGCCACCTTCACCTGCTCAGTATTAATGCTTCCTCACTCCACCAAGTAATTCATTGAGGATCAACCAACACAGCCGAGGCTGCGTGTCTCTCTCTCTCTCCCCGTGGTCGCGTGGATTTCCTTCCCGATCTCCCGGTTTCCCCGCCACATGTAGAGTGAACACCGCCACGCTGTTGACAAGCCTCACCTTGTGTTGTGGGGCAGGTCGCTTCTGAAAACAAGAGCGGTATAGCAGCTCAAGCAGACTTGGCCTGGTAAAAAAAAAACTGTACGAATATTTAAAGTAAAACAAAGCAACAAAGTGGCGAGCCTTGTGAAGATAATTTCAACTTAAGCGAGAGAATTGAAGCAAACGCGACCAGGCGAGGGCAGGAGGCAAGGCCCCGCGTTGCAAAGTTCCACCTGGACATCGCTTCCATGCTCGCTGCTCCTCAATTGACACCCTTACGAGAGAGAGAGAGAGCGAGGCTTTGCCTTGGTAAACCACCACCACCACCGTGAATAGAATTTCTCACCTCGGATTTCACTGCACTGGCGGAGCGGCAACTTCCTGTTACCGCGTGACGTCACGCGGCAGCAGCAGGTGACATGACGTCACTTGCGGGGTACGATAACGCTCCCCTCCCACAATGAGCGGCTCTGTAACTTAACTAAATGATGTTAATGACCTCGGCCCATACGTCGAGAGATGGGGCGTGGCCGCGCGGGTGCCGAACCCGTCGCAATGAACTCGCGACGGCTTTCACGAACACATTATGTTAATGAGGCGCCAGTCACCGAGCGTAGCTTCGCCCAAATAAGGATTGGCACTGGAACAGATATCGGCAGTGAGCCAGTCAGAGGTGACGTCACGCTCAGGACCGCGGTGGTCCGGAGTGGGTGACATGACGTCACTAGCGAAGCACACCGCCCCCTGGCGTTTGACGCCGATGAGGTCACGCTGAGCGATGACGTCAGAGAGCGGGGTCAGAGTTCAAGTTTGTTGACAGAAGGGGAGCGGCAGTGACGTGGTGAGTGCTGCGCTCCGCACCGACCAGCCGAGTTCCATTCCCGTGTGTGGCCAACGCCGCCGGTGACGACTTTCTACGTCGACTCAGCCTTAAACGAGTGTCCGGTGTGGTGTGTAAACAAGGCGGCCGGGAGTGGCGCTGGCCACCCTCGTGTGCCGTGACGACCTCCATCTGTGCTGCTCGCTGCATACCGCACTTTGTACAAGTTGTGGCTTGGCTCTCCAGCACACCGATGGCGACATTTCACAATCGCCATGTCAGTATGGGCCAAATTTTCATAGCTTTATTTTTTAACAAAAAGTGAATTCCTCCATTGTATTTAGTCTTAGTATGCTATGTATTAAGTTAAAAGTGGAAATTTTCACGTTGAAATGTTCACGTCCCAAACAGAAAATCGGCATAATAACCTTTGCCGTTTTTGGCCAAAATTGGCCAAACTTTCACAGCTTTACTTATCGACAAAATTTAATTCCATTGTATGTAGCCTTAGTATGCTATGTATTAGATTAAAAGCAGAAAATTTCACGATTAAGTGTTCACGTCGCAAACAGAAAATCGGCATTTTTGCCAAAAATTTTACACATTTTTACAGATGTATTTTTAAACAAAAAATGCGTTGTGTTTAGCCTGAAGAGCCTATATATTACATTAAAAGGGGGAAATTTCACCATGAAATTTTGAAGTAAAAAATAAGCAAAGCGGCATACTAACCCATGCCGTTTTTGGCCTACATTTTCAAAATTTTCATAGCTATATTTTCCAAGAAAAAGTGAATTCCTCCATTTTGTTAAGCATTAGTATGCTCTATATTAGGTAAAAATGGGAAATTTCACGATGAAATTTTGAGGTCCCAAAATTAACTCGGCACACTAACCTATGCCGTTTTTAGCCAAAATTTGTCAATTTCACAGCTTTATTTTTCAACAAAAGTTAATTCTTCCATTGTATTTAGCTATAGTATGCTATATATTAGATTAAAAGTGGGACATTTTACGATGCAATTTTCAAGTCACAAAAAGAAATAGATACTCACCTATGCCATTTTTGGCCAAAATTAACCAAATTTTCATAGCTAAATTTTGTAAAAAAAAATGTGAATTCCTCCTTTTGATTAGCATTAGTATGCTGTAAATTACTATAAAGGTATATTTCATGCTGACATTTTCACGTCCCAAAAATAAAATTGGCATAACTTTTTTCGGATAAAAAAACAAATCGGCATACTAACCTATCCTGTTTTTGGACAAAATTGGGTTAGGGTTAAGTGTTGGTGTTCGGGGTAGGCTCAGGGTTTGGGTTAGGGGTTAGGGTCAGGAGTTAGGGTTAGGGGGTTAGGGTAAGGGGGTAGGGGTTAGGGTTAAAGGTTAGGGTTGGCTTAGGGGTTAGGGTTTACGGTTAAGGGTTGGGGTAAGGATTAGGGTTGGGTTAGGGTAGGGTTAGCGGTTAGGGTAAAGGTTAGTTTGGGTTAGGAAGAGGGTTAAGGGTTCGAGTTAGTGGTTAGGGTTCAGAGTTATAGGGTTTGGGTTACAGGTTTAGGGTTAGTTAGAGTTAGATGGTTAGAGGGTTATGGTTAGGAGTTAGCGTTCGGGTTTAGGGGTTAGGGTTAGGGGATAGGGGTTAGGGGATAAGGGTTAGGATTAATGTTTAGGGTTCATGGTTATAGGGTTAGGGTTAGAGGGATAGATTGTTATGGTTAGGAGTTAGCGTTCGGGGTTAGGGGTTAATGTTAGGGGTTAGGGTTAGCTGTTAGGGTTCGGGGTTAGGATTAGGGGTTAGGCATTAGGGGTTAGGGTTAGGGGTTATGGTAAGGGGTTAGGGTTAGGGGTTAGGGTTCAGGGATAGGATTAGGGCTCGATTTTTCCGACTCAGTACTCTTCGGCACACCTGGAAAAAAACATTTTAGCTGCAGCGTTTACAAAATTATTTGGTAGGCGTCATGATGATTACGGCAAAATCCGACCATGTCTGTCCAGTGCTCACCGAACTGCGTTGGCTTCCTGTTGCCGAACTCATACATTATAAAGTTGCACTCATTACATACAAAGCGCTTGCCACAAATGAACCACAATACCTTGCTGGTATCATCAAAGAGCATACACCATCACGTAAACTCTGGTCATCCTCGCAGCAGCTTTTGGCTAGTCATCAAATAAAAACGGTCGCTGCATTGCATGCTTTCAGATGCACTTCTGCAGCCGTCTGGAATGTTCTTCTGATATTAGGAAGTCACTGGAGCTAGGCATTTGTAAAATCTAGATTGAAAATTTATTTTCTTTGGAACTGCTTTTGTGCTTAGTTTGTTGTCCTTCCTCCGCACCTCCGATCAGCATGGTTGGCTATGTACGGTGTGAAAGAAGTTCAACATACCAACATGGACACTCGCTAAATAACCTAACCATCATGAACACTCGCTGAAACAACTTAACCAACATAGACACTCGCTAAATAACCTAACCAACATGGACACTCGCTAAATAACCTAACCATCATGGACACTCGCTATATAACCTAACCATCATGGACACTCGGTAAATAACTTAACCATCATGGACGTTCGCTAAATAACCTAACCATGGACACTCGGTATATAACTTAACCTCCGATCAGCATGGTTGGCTATGTACAGTGTGAAAGAAGTTCAACATACCAACATGGACACTCGCTATATAACCTAACCATCATGGACACTCGCTAAATAACCTAACCATCATGGACACTCGCTGAAACAACTTAACCAACATAGACACTCGCTAAATAACCTAACCAACGTGGACACTCACTAAATAACCGAACCAACATGGACACTCGCTAAATAACCTAACCAACATGGACACTCGCTAAATAACGTATCCATCATGGACACGTGCTAAATAACCGGACAGCCAACCACGCTTCAGACACATGCCAGGACGCCACAGCACCAGCGACTCACAACTACGGGGAATGTGCAGGTGACGCCTGACAGCGGAAACTGCTGGTGTACTGTGTTGTCCTATACTGCACATGTCCAAGTAACAAACTACTTTATTGCCATCCCAAGCTGTCCCATATGTTTACACCGTTGAATATTTGGTGAACATCGGTGCTGAAATAGTGAAGCGCACTGCATTCTCAAACAGTGTGCTTCAAATCGGCAACAATCACACTAAACACGCACATGCACCCACGTAGGGTCTCGATAGGGGGGGGGGGGTTGCCTGGCACCACGGGTTTTCATCCGAAAGGCCCCTAACGGGGATGTCCCCCGGTTTCCCATTGCCAAGAGATTGGCCGACCCCCCCCCCCCAGGCCGGATTAAATGGTGCCCCCCCTAAAATCAACTTAAAAAGTTGTAGGGGCGCATAGATCTTTACAGGCTGGCTGCGATGAAACATACGGGAGGTGGGGCCTCAATGGCAAACACTCTATGGGCAGTGTAAACAGTGGGTTGGGGGAAAAATCCCTGGGCGCCCTAGGAGGAGCGATTTAAAAGTAAGACAGGAAATTAGCGGTGACTCAGAGACGAGGAACGCAGATACGGGTACGATGGAAAGGGGGGGAAGAGGGGGGGTGGATGACGTGATGCCCGCCCTCAGCCCCCTGTAACGGCTAGAGTGTTCAAAACTCGGCAGGTAAAGCGCTCGATTGGCCGCGCAGGATGACACCATGTCACCCAAGGATTAACAGGCTCTGAGATGATAAGTGGGGAGGGAGAGAGCGAATTTGAATCAGAGTTCTCCTGCGACCGTCGAGAATCCCAGCCGCCCCCTCATCGTCCGCGTGAAGCCTACCGGGTGTAACTGTGAACCGTCGGCCAGGCAGTCTTCGCTGTCCAGCGTCCTCCCCAACTCCCACTGTGTGATGCTGTGAGTGTGTCTGCGAGGTGAGTGATCGTTCATTTGGTCGATTCAGCCCAGTTCGCCCGTTAGACCTAGCATGAGATAGTCACACGTCGCGAAGGGTGGGAAATAAGAGGCGAGGTGCTACCCGTAGGGTGTTCGCTGGGGGCCATAAACTATTCGAGCCGGATATACAACCTTAGTACAGATTTAAGTTTGACACGTGCGTGTGTGTGTGAAGAGTGGTGGAACAACGATTGGTGCACTGCGGTGTGTGGGTGATATAAATCGGTGTGTGTATGACGTGCGCGAATATCTAATCTTTAAAAGTAATTTTTTGTCTGTCCGTCTGTCCGTCTGTCTGTCTGCGCACACACGCTTGTGAGGGATTTCGCTCTCGAACCGTGGGGTTTTTGTAGAATAAAGAATTTGCCAGGCAGCACGCCCTAAGCCCCGCGGTAGGCAAGCGCTATGCCGCTTTCCCATCCATAAAATTTTAAGTAGTTAAAATAGTGTTTTTGTGCGAATTCTCTTTATTTATTGTTCTCCCCCCCCTCACCGCTCAAGCTGCACGGGGGTTGCCTCTGGCAACGCACGTGTGTCATCTGTGGAGGGTGGGGGGGATTTCTCATTCGCGTTCAAAATGGGGAAAAAAGATACTTCGCAACGCTGAGGTAAATTCATCAAAGTGTCATGTCCTCTTCTCTTCCCCCCCACCCCAATGTGTGCACTTACTACTATAGGCTCGGTAGAT